ATTTTCAGGGCTATGTGTACTGTATCTGATGTTAGTCATCAAATGGTAGCTAAGACAAGTGTTTGTGTTCTTGGACATTGTAGTTCTACAAGAGAATCATGGGAGGAAACACAAGACTATAATAGAGGGCAGTAGTGTTAGGAGGAGGAGATACCATGAGAGCAGCTGGGAAGGTCTCCTTACCCACAAGGGTGGTTCAGAAATCCTCCTGGTGGAACTTACATTTAGGCTGAAGGAAGGAGAAGGGCCAGCCAGGTCCACAGCGGGGAAATCTTAGCTATTGCAAGGAAATTGTGGCAGGATAGTTTATCAGAGCTAGTAAATTGAGTTACTTCTTGCAATACTTCCTCCTTTCTCCTATTCTAAGCAGGTGGACTGTTCTGTGAGATAAATAGTTTGAGAGGAGGGGCTGTTTATCATAGGCTACACCAAGGTATTTGAACATTATAAGGAGCCATTGAAGAGTCCTAATAAGGGAAAGAACAATATAAAATTCCATTTCAAAATCATCACTCTGGCTTCAGTGGGACAAGATTGTTAATGAAATGACCAGTGGGATTTGCCTGTTCCAGTGTCCTATCCAGTTTAGCATTTGTCTTAGATTTTAAATTTTTTAACATTAAGAATTCTACTTTACACTTCTAGCTTCCACTAAAGTTTCTTTGTGTAGTGCTTGAGGTATTTTGTCAAACAGAATTCTCCCCTTAACACATGGGTAACTCTTTCCAAACCCGTGTGCACAGCACCCGCAATAGAACAACCCAGTGGGTAACCATGTCTGAGTCCTTTTGGTCTCTGTTAATGGTAGAAGTACCTGATGTGCCTGCCAATGGTGTGAGACTGTGAGATGCAAGAAACCACTAGTCAAAGGAAAATATGACATAGTAAAGGTTAACAGTATATGAAATAGGAAATAGAAATTGGGTGGTCTTGCTGTAGAGCATAGAGAAATCTCAGTACTTCGGTAGTTTTGTCATTTGTTATATGGTATAAATCTGCAGTTATTGAATTCTATTCTTCAATGGTGTTCTTTTATTAGGCAATAAACCCTTTCAGTAGTCACGAGTTCAAAAAAATAAAAAACATATGTTCAATGAAAAATTAAGTATTGAGTTGTTGTGTTTGAGAAAGTTGAGATTGATTGGATACTTGCATAAAATGTTAACAAAATGAAAACCAGAATACAGAAATCTGCTAAAGTCTTTTTCAAAACTGAGCATTTATAAGAAAACTGTATGACTGTTGGAATTTAATGTGTACATAAGCAGAAAGTACATTTTTCTTATCACTGCATGAAACTCGACTTTTCATTAGGTTGGATAAATGATGATAGTTTATCAGTATTATCAGATGCTTTGAATAGAAATCAATTCTAGGGGCCGGCGCTGTGACTTACTTGGTTAATGCTCTGCCTGCGGCGCCAGCATCCCATGTGGGTGCTGGGTTCTAGTCCCGGTTGCTCCTCTTCAGTCTAGCTCTCTGCTGTGGCCCAGGAGGGCAGTGGAGGATGGCCCAAGTGCTTGGGCCCCTGCACCTGCATGGGAGACCAAGAGGAAGCTCCTGGCTTCGGATTGGTGCAGTGCCGTCCATAGTGGTCATTTGGGGAGTGAACCAACGGAAGGAAGACCTTTCTGTCTCTCTCACTATCTATAACTCTACCTACCAAATTTTAAAAATAAATAAAAAAATAAAAAGAAATCAATTCTAGTAACAGTCATTCTTTTTTGTTTTTATAGATTTGTTTGAAAGGCAGTGGCAGGCCAGCACCACGGCTCACTAGGCTAGTCCTCCGCCTGCAGTGCTGGCACCCCGGGTTCTAGTGCCAGTCAAGGCACCGGATTCTGTCCTGGTTGCTGCTCCTCCTGTCCAGCTCTCTGCTGTGGCCCAGGAGTGCAGTGGAGGATGGCCCAAGTGCTTGGGCCCTGCACCTGCATGGGAGACTAGGAGAAGCCCCTGGCTCCTGGTTTCAGATCAGCGTGGTACGCCGACCGCAGTGGCCATTGCGGAGTGAACCAACGGAAAAGGAAGACCTTTCTGTTGTCTCTCTCACTGTACACTCTGCCTGTCCAAAAAAAAAAAAAAAAAAAAAAAAGGTAGTGGCAGATTTAGAGAAAAAAGGAGGCAGACAGATTGTCCATCCACTGATTAACTCCTCAGGTGGCCTCAACAGCCAGGACTGAGTCAGGCTGAAGCCAGGAGATTCTTCTTGATCTCCCACACAGGTGGCAGGGGCCCAGGGACTTAGCCATCTTCCACTGCTTTCCCAGGTGCACCAGGAGGGAGCTGGATTGGACTTGGAACAACTGGGACTCAAACGAGTGCCTATAAGGATGCTGGCACTACAGGCCACACACAGCTTAACCCATTGTGCCATGCTGCCAGCTCCAACATTCTTTTAAAAATTCTAATTCATGGGGCTGACATTGTGGCACAGTGAGTTAGGCTTTTGCTTGCAACACTGACATCTCACATGGAGTGTTAGTTCAAGTCCCATCTACTCTGCTTCCAATCCAGTTCTGCGTTAATGTGCCTGGGAAGGTAGTGGAAGATGGTCCAAGTGCAGGATGGAGTTCTTGGCTGCTGGCTTCAGCTTAGCTCAGCACTGGTTATTGCTGCCATTTGGGCAGTGAACCAATGGATAGAAGATCTCTGTTCACCTCTCTCTCACTCTTTCCAAATAAAACTTAAGATTAAAGACAATTTTATGAAAATAGTTTTAATAAATTGTGAAACCATAATTCATAATGTTAACATATATACAGCTAAGTGGAGAAAAATGAGTGCTGGTGTTATGGCGTACATGTAAAGCCACCACCTGGGATGTTGGCATCCATGTGGTCTGAGTCAAGTCCTGGTTGCTCTACTTCTAATCAGTTCCCTGCTAATGCCCTGGGAAATGCAGCAGAAGATGGCCCAAGTGCTTGGGCCCTAAACCTACATGGAAGACCCAGATGAAGCTCCTGGCTTCTGGTTTCCACCTGGCACAGCCCAGGCCATTGTGGTCATCCCTCCCTCTCTCCCTCCTTCTCCCTTCCTCCCTCTCCCCGTAACTCTTTCAAATAAATATTTAAGAAAGAAGTGAACAAGCATACAAATAGGTATGATGAATAATCATTTCAATGTAATTTTTAAAAGATTTATGTATTTTATTCAATTATTTGAAAGACAGAATGGTGGGAATGGGACAGAGGAAGATGAGAGAGACCTTCCTTCTGCTGATTTGCTCCTCAAATGCTTGCAATAGCTGGGGTTGGACCAAGCTGAAGCCAGGAGCCTGAAACTGAATGACAGGGACCTAAGTACTTGGCCATCATATGCTGCCTTTCCAGGCACATTAGCAGGAATCTGGGTTGGAAGAGAAGGAACTGGGATTCAAACTAGCACTCTGATATAGTATGTGGGTTCCTAAGAAGTGGCTGAATGTATTGTGTGACATCTGCTGCTCGATTTTATTTTTTTATATTTAAAAATTTAATTTTAACAGATTCAATGTGCTTTGTAAATACAATCCTAAGAACATAATGATATTCCCTTCCTCCCCCACCTCCCCCCCATCTTCCTCCTCCCTTTATTTCTTTTAAGTTTTTGATATAACAAATTTTAAACATAAAGTAAAAAGGTATAATACTTCACTGAATATGAAGTTTAACAAGTAAAAAGCAAAAAGACCCTAGTTTAGTGGCAATAGACAATGGCTATAAACAATAATTGAATGGAAAAATGGCCATTTTACTCATGTACAGTAAGTTTTAAAGTAATCAGATTATTAAAACTATAATATAACATTCTGAACAATTGGCTCCATAAAAGTATAAAACAATGTTTTACAAAACTATCTTTGCAGCAATAATGAAATATACAGACCTTCCTTTTTCTTTGTTTATTGAATTTTAGCTCCCACAAATAAGGGAGACCAGGTGGTATTTGTCTTTCTGCGTCTGGTTTATTTCAATCAACATGATGTCCTCTAGTTGCATTCATTTTGCTGCAAAAAGTAGAATTTCATTCTATATAGACTAATAATATTCCAGTGTAAATATATATACCACATTTTCTTTACCCATGTACCTCATGATGGGCACCTTGGATGATTGCAAATTGTGGCTATTGTGAACAGTATTGCTGTAAACATGGTGGTGCAGGTATCTTTGATATAGTATGTTCAAGTCTTTTGGGTATATATGCAGTAGTGGGATTGTTAGATTATATGGAAAGTCTATTTCTAGTTTTTAAGAAATCACACTGTTTTCTAGTGGCTGCACTAATTTACATTCCCATCAATAGTGTAGGAGTGTTCCCCTTTGTCCACATCCTCACCAGCATTTGTTACTGTTTTGGATTTTAGAAATTCTGACATGGGTGAGGTTATATCTCATTGTGGTTTTGATCTGCATTTCCCTGATGGCTAGTGATGTTAAGCATCTTTGTCATAGGTTTGTTGACTGTATTCTTTTGAGAGCTCTCTGTTAAAGTCCTCTGCCCATTTCTTAACTGGGTTGGATTTTATTGTTTCTTGAAGTTGCTGACATTATCTGGGATATTAATACTTCATCAGATGGGTGGTTTGCAAATATTTTTCCCATTCTGTTGGATATCACTTCACTCTTGATCATTTTCTTTGCTTTGCAAAAACTTCTGAGTTTGATATAGTCCCATTTGTTTGGTTTTGCTTTTTGTTTGCTGTGCTTAGGGGGTCTTATCCAAAAAGTCGACCTCTACACCAAAATCTTGGAGTCTTTCCCCTATGTTTTCTACCAGCAACTTCATAGTGTTAGCTCTTAAATTTAAGTCTTCAATCCATTGTGAATTGATTTTTGTATATGGTGAGAGGCATGGATCTAATTTCATTCTTCTACATATAGACATCCAGTTTTGCCAGCACCATTTGTTGAAGAGACTATCGTTACTCCATTGTATGGTCTGAACACTTTTGTCAAAAATCAGTTGACTGCATGTATGCATGTGTGCTAATTTCTGGGCCCTCTATTTTTTTTTTTCAGTTGATGCAACTCAGTGATTTTTATTGCAACTGGAAGACAATACATCACAGAAACTTTATGGTAGGTCTGGGGGAAAGTGTTGTTTACAATAAATGATGAAAGTTTGTCTTTGGCAATATGATTACACATGAAGAATGCAAGATGCAAGTATGGATGCCTCTGAAGCAATGCCACTAAGTCCCTAGGTTCAGCTGCTAGTGTCTGTCTCTGCATTGCTTCTTTAGATTAACACAAACACAAATGAACGTCACGTTCTTTCTCCTTTATGGTTCTCCCTTTCTATTCATGATATTGGCAGTTTCATACAGAAAAAAATTGGCTTTTGAAAAATTATTACTCCTGTAAATTAATTTGGGCATATGGGTCTATTTCTGGGCCCTCTATTCTATTCCACTGATCTAAGTATCTTTTTTTATGCCAGTGCCAGGATGCTGGGATTTTTTATTTTTAAAATATTTTGAGAAGTAGAATTGGAGAATGAGAGACAGACAGATCTTCCATTCACTAGTTCACAAATGGCTGCAATAGTCAGGGCTGGGCTGATCTGAAGCCAGGAGCCAGAAGTTTCTTCTGAGCCTTCCACACAGGGTAAGGGAGCCAAGCACTTGAGCTATCTTCCACTGCTTTCTGAGATCATAAGCAGATGACTGGAAGAGGAGCAGCTGAGACATGAATTGATGCCCGCATGGGATCCTGGCACAGCAGGCAGCGGTTTAGCCTACTATGCCACAGCACCATGCAGTTTTAATTACTGTAGCTTTGTAGTATACTTTCAAGTCAGGAATTGTGATGTCTCCAGCTTGATTTTTCTTGCTCAGGTCCACTTTGGCTATTCCGAGTCTTTTGTGATTCCATCTGACTTTTAAGATTGTGTTTTCCAGTTATGTAGATAATGCCATTGTTATTTTTATAGAGATTGCATTAAATCTGTAAATTGCTGTAGACACTTTAATGATACTGATTTTTCCAATCCAGTTTTTGTGTCCTTGATGATTTCTTTCATCAATGTTTGATAGTTTTCATTGCAGATTTTTCACTCCTTGGGTTAAATTTATTCCTAAATATTTGATTTTTATTTTGTGGCTATTGTGAATGGGATTTCTTGATTTTTCTGTGAGTTCATCATTAGCCTCCAAAAATCTACTGGTTTTTGTAAGTCTGTTTTTAACTTGAAATTTTACTGAATTGGTTTTTCAATTCTAACAACTTTTTGGTGGAATGTTTAGGTTTTTCCCTGTACAAAATCATGTCCTCTGCAAACGTGGATAATTTGACGTCCTTTTTTCCAATTTTGATGTCCTTTATTTCTCTGCCTTATTTGCTCTAGCTAAAACTTCCAAACTATATTGAATAAGAGAGGCAAATGTGGACATCCTTGTCTTGTTCCAGACCAATGCTTTCAGCTTTTCCCCACTCAGTATCATATTGTCTGTTGGTTAGTGATATATAGCCTTTATAATTCTGAGAAATGTTCCTTCTATACCTAATTTCTTGAATTTTTATCACAAAGGGGTATTGAATCTTACAAATGCTTTCTCTGCATGTATTGAGATGACCATATGGCTTTTGTTCTTCATTCTATTGATGTGACTTAAGACATTTCTTGATTTGTGAATGTTGAGCCACCCTTGCATTTCTGGGATAAATCTCATTTGATAATGATGTATGATCTTTTTGATATGATTTTGGATTTGCGCCGTGGCTCAATAGGCTAATCCTCCACCTTGCGGCGCCGGCACACTGGGTTCTAGTCCCGGTCGGGGCGCCGGATTCTATCCCGGTTGCCCCTCTTCCAGGCCAGCTCTCTGCTATGGCCAGGGAGTGCAGTGGAGGTTGGCCCAGGTGCTTGGGCCCTGCACCCCATGGGAGACCAGGAAAAGCACCTGGCTCCTGGCTCCTGCCATCGGATCAGTGCGGTGCGCCGGCTGCAGCGGCGGCCATTGGAGGGTGAACCAACGGCAAAGGAAGACCTTTCTCTCTTTGTCTCTCTCTCTCACTGTCCACTCTGCCTGTCAAAAAAATAAATAAAAATCCTCATTTAAAAAAAAAAAAGAATCTTTGCATTATGTTCATTAAGGATATAAGTCTGTGGTTTTCAGGTCATGTATCAAAGTATCAAAGTGATACTAGCCTCATAAAAAGCGTTGGGCATGGGGTTGGCACTGTGGCAGCAGGTTGATGCCCTGACCTAAAGCACCGGCATCCCATATGGGCGCCGGTTCAAGACCTGGCTGCTCCACTTCCAATCCAGCTCTCTGCTATGTCCTGGGAAAGCAGTAGAAGATGACCCAAGTCATTGGGCCCCTGCACCCACGTGGGAGACCCAGAAGCTCCTGGCTCCTGGCCGTGGATTGGTGCAGCTCTGACCATTGTGGCCAATTGGGGAGTGAACCATCAGATGGAAGACCTCTCTCTCTCTCTCTCTCTCTCTCTCTGCCTCTCCCCTCTCAGTGTAACTCTGGCTTTCAAATAAATCTTTGAAAGAGCATTGGGCAGAGTTCCATCTTGTTCAACATTTTGGAATAGTTTGAAAAATGAGTTATTTCCTCTTTGAATGTTTTGTAGAATTCAATGGTAAAGCCATCAGGCCCCCAGACTTCACTGATGGAAGACTTGATTACTGCTTCAATCTCATTGTTTGTTGTGGATCTGTTTAGGTTGTCTGTATCTTCTTGATTTTAATATTAGTAGGTTATATGAATCCAGGAATTTATCCATTCGAGATTTTCCAGTTTATTAACATACTTTTTTTTTTTACAGTAGTTTCTTTTTTCCCCCTCAGGTTTTTGTTTTATTTATCTTTTTTTTTTAAGATTTCATTTATTTATTTGAAAGTCAGAGATACACAGAGAGGAGGGGCAGGGAGAGAAAGAGAGGTCTTCCATCCAATGGTTCACTCCCCAATTGGCTGCAATGGCCAGAGCTGTGCCGATCCACAGCCAGAAGCCAGGAGCTTCTTCTGGATCTCTCACGTGGGTGCAGGAGCCCAAGGACTTGGGCCATCTTCTGCTTTCCCAGGCCATAGCAGAGAGCTGGATCGGAAGAGGAGCAGCCAGAACTTGAACCAGTGCCCATATGAGATGCTGGCACTGCAGGTAGCAGCTTTACCTGCTACACCACAGCACCAGCCCTTACAGTTTCTTATGATCTGTTGTATTTCAGTGGTGTTGGTTGTAATATCTCCTTTTTCATCAACTGATTTGAATATTTTCTCTTTTTTTCTTTGTTAGTATGGCTAGAGGTTTATATACTCCTCAAAACAAATGTTTGTTTTTGTTGTAATTTTAGTTTCAATTTCATTTATTTCTGTTCTGATTCTTATTTCTTCCCTCTTGCTGATTGGGGTTTGGTTTGTTCTTGCTTTTCTAAGTCATCAAGATGGATCATTAGATCTTTGAGATATTTCTCTTTAATGTAAGAACTTAATACTATAAACTTCCCTCGTAATGCTGCTTTTGCTGCATCCCATAGGTTTTGATATGTTTTCATTTTCATTTGTTTCAAGCAAATTCTTATTTGCTTCAATGATCCATTGATCATTCAGTAGCATGTTGTTTAATTTCCAAGTATTTGAGTGTTTTATTATACTTTTACTTCATGGTCTGAGAAGATACATGGTATGATTTCAGTCTTAAATTTGCTAGGACTAGATTTGTGCCTACTAGGTGGTCTGTTGTAGAAAATGTTCCATGTGCTTGCTGATGAGAATGTGCATAGTGTAGCTGTTGGGTGAAATGGCCTGTAAATGTCTGTCAAGTCCATTTGCTCCCTAGTATGTTTCGACTCTGTATCTTTATTTTTTTTTGGTCTGGGTTATCTGTCCATTAATGAGTAGGGTGTTGAAGTCACACTCTATTATTGTATTAGAGTTGATCTCTCCCTTTAGTTCCAATATTATTTGCTGTATATATTAGAATGGTCTTGTGTTGGGAGCATATACATTTGTGATATGTTTTCTTGATGAATAGAACCCTTTACCAAAATATAATGCCCTTTATATTTTTATGGTATTTTATTTAAAGTTGTCTTAATCTGATTTTAGGATAGCTAGGCCTGCTCACTTCTGGTTTCCATTTGCGTGGTGTATCTTTTCCTACCCTTCACTTTTTTTTTTTTTTTAACCATTTTAAGCCTTTGTTTAGTGAGAAAGATGCATAGGAGAATGAGAGCTTTATCTAAGTGAGAGGTAAATCTGGGTTCATACCAAACACCAGGAACCAGCCACATGGAGGAGCATCTAGGCCTGGAAGCCTAGGGCGCATAGCCCGAAGGCCATGCGCCCTGGAGGTGTAGGACTATAGCAAGCCCCACTCCTGGCAACAGGCCAGGGAAGAAGAGAAGGGCAGGACACCGTGTCCCAGGCTTTTAACCCACTTCCAAAGGGGAGTGGTTAATTAACCTGATTGGCTGGTGGGCACCCAGGTGTGGCCACCTACTCTTCACTTTCAATCTGTGTCATTGTGAAGTGAGTTTCTCATAGGCAGTAGGGTTATGTGTTTTTTGTCCACTCAACCAAGCTAAGTCTCTTGGTTGGTGAATTTAATCCATTTACAATCAAAGTTAGAATTGATAAGACCAGTCATTTTGTTGATAGGATAATAATTCTACATGTTCTGTCAGTGAATTTGGTGGCATGTGTTTAGAGTTCACTTTAAGGCAGGACACTTTTCAGAATTTCTTGCAAGGCTTATCTAGAGGTAGTAAATCTCTGGTTACTAATATCTGGAAAATATTTCTCCTTCACTTTCATTTTTTAAGTTTTACTTATTTACTTGAGAGGCAGAACTACAAACAGGGAGGGAGAGATGGAGAGAGAGGTCTTCCGTCTGCTGGTTTACTCTACAACTGGCCACAACAGTGGAGCTAGGCCTGGAGCCCGGAGCTTTGTCCAGGTCTCCCACAAGGGTGCAGGGGCCTAAATATTTGGGCCATCTTCCACTGCTTTCCCAGTCCATTAGCAGGAAGCTGGATCAGAAGTGGAGCAGCCAGGACTTGAACCGGCACCCATATGGGAAGCTGATGCCACAGACAGAGGCATAGCCTACTATGCCACAATGCCA